TGACAGTCATGGTAGAAAAAAATTCATGGTAGAAAAGACATAGTAATAAGTGTTCACCAGAAGAGAGTAACAAACCAGTGGAGGGCATTAGTACAGCCTCTCTACCCACATCATATTAAGATTGAGACATAAAAGTCCAGGAGCCAGACATTCAAGGAACAGGAGAAAGGGCATCCCAGGCAGAGAGCAGGAGGGCCTGACACACAGAAACAAGCCAGGTGCCAGAGGAGCAGTCTATGATCAAATGACATACATGCCAAGCTCAAAAGACAGGGCAGGATCTTACACCATGGCAAGCAGTGAGGGATTTTATTCCAAAGGGAAAAAAAAATTTTTAAGCCTGGCACTGGTGGCTCACACCTGTAATCCTAGCCATTCAGGAGGCTGATATCTGAGGATTCAAAGCCAGGAAAGTCCATGAGACTCCAGAAAACCAGAAGTGGCACTACAGCTCAAAGTGGCAGTAGTATACTCAACCACTAGCCTTGAGTATTAAGAACGAAGAGACAGTATCCAGGCCCCAAGTTCAAGCCTCACAACCAACAACAACAACAAAGGGGGGAAAAAAAGGATTGGCAAGAAATAAACAATGGGCAGAAGGCAAGGGCAGTGGCTTAGTAGAGAGAACTTCAGTGAAAGCCAGCATTTCCCAAATACCCATCATCCTGGAGGTCTCAGGCTATGGTCTACTGCTCAGGAAACCCTCACATATCTCAAAAAGACTCTACTGGCCTCTCTTTACACATGAGGTTCTAGAAGCCACCTATGCAAGGGCCCAGAACCATAAGTGTCTGAGCCAGATCTAAACCCCAGTTCTCATTATCCTCAAGTCTATGTTCTATTCACACATCATGACTGTGAGAGTGTCAGCTCGGTGCGAATGGGGTGAGCTCAAGAATGCGGGGCTACTCCATGCTGATAAGGCACCCGTGACACAGATACTGCAGAGCACATATGAAGAGGTAAGCCTCCTTGCTAGACCAGAGAAAATGTTCAGATTTGACAGGCTACTTCAACTGAGACTGCGGATTTTCAACAAGTAGGAAAAAGCGCCTCAGCACAAGAGCACCCACATGTCTGGGCAGCTGAGTAGAGGACCAAGTGAAGACAGGATGGAGACAGGATGCAGACGGGTGTTTCGGCCCCATCTGGCTAAGGCTTTCCCCAGTTTCTTAGAGAAGAGGCCAGCAGAAATTAATCCTACTACTATTTGTTGTGTCTAATTTATACTGAAATTTCCATTTCTAGGCATTTATTCAAAACTAGAAAAAGAATCGTGTGCACAAGGATATTTGACAAAACTTTGCAACAGCAAGAAGTAAAAAACAACTTGAATGTCCTACATAGTAAGCAGCTGCATAAATTGTGATGCAAAATACCCATTTTTAATACAAGTTCAGTGTGTGTGCGTGTGAGAGTGCGTGTGCGTGTGCATGTGCGTGTGTGTGTGTGTACACACACACACCAGTCCTGGAGCTTGAACTCAGGGCTTGAGTGCCATCCCTGATTTTTTTTTTTTTTTTTTTGCACAAGGCTAGTGTTCTACCAGTTGAGCCAAGGCTCCACTTCCAGCTTTTGAGTGGCAAAATTGGAGATAAGAATCTCATGTAGTTTCCTGCCCAAGCTGCCTTCAAACCACAATCCTTAGATCTCAGCCTACTAGGTAGCTAGGATTACAGGCATGAGACACCAGCACTCTACAAGTCTTTATGAAAACAATGCCTTCCATCAGTGATAGAAGGAATATCAGTGTCATTCTCTGGGGAGAGCCAGAGTTGAACTCCTCTACATACAGTAAGGTCTTCCTTAATCTCCTAAAGAAGAGAGAGAGGTTTCAGTGCCCAAAACTTATCACAGCACGTAAGTCCAGGCCTTCACAAAATGTAGCCTCTGCTAGCCCCTCTCCAGCCCAGGGAGCACCCTCTACATTCCCAACTAGGGAAGGACCAACAAGACAGGCCCCACGGAAGACTGAACTGACACACCAGCTCCGCATGAGTTATGGCAGCCTCAGCTACCACAAGCATGGACATTGCAGTACCAGAGCAAACCCTTCACGTGTCAGCAATGCTTGTCCAGCACACGAACATGGTAGTAGTGACTTCTTTTGCTAGAGGACCTGGATTTGAAGCCTGAGTCCCACCCCTTTGGGCTTCCAGCCCCAGGTGTCAAATGAGAATGACACATTTTTGGAGATAGAATGTCTCAGACTTTTCCACATGGGCTGGCTTTGAACTGTGATCCTCTGGATCTCAACATCCTGTGTAGATAGGATTACAAACATGAGCCACCAGCACCCAGCTGAGGTAATCTTTTGAAAGCACCATATTGGTCATGACAGACTAAAATCTGTCATTGGTTACCTTTTATCTTCAGGGCAAAGTCAAACCAAGCAGTGTGACTGTCAACACTGGAGGCTCTGACCCATGTCTGCCCCGATGGCTTCATGTCCCTCACACAACCTTGTTCTGACCAAAAGGCATCCCACAGGTCCCTGAACTCTTGCGACCTGCCCTGCACCTGAGTCCTGAGGCTGGTCGCTCTTCCTTGTGCCCAGTCCCTGATGTCCCAACTCCTGCCTGAAGCCCACTTACATTCAGAGCCCATCCTCTGTAGCCCACAGCGCCCTGTCCTCAGCTCACTACACCATCACCCTGTAGTCCCATCCACCCAATTAGACCAGAGCCTCTTCACTGGCAAACTCATCTGGGCTAAGGCACCCCAGGTTCCTCGTCTCCTGAGGAATGGGCACTGGGGTGACAATATGTACCGAGGTGAACTTGGGCCCCTGTCTCACCAGACCCTAGCTAATGCAACTGCTGATGTTCAGGCAGTCATCAGAGACTGGAGTAAGAGGAATCATGAGTTTCCCTTTAATTCAAAGAGTATTCTGGCCCCCTCTTTAATATGCAGGCTGACTCTGAAACTGGCCTTAGATGCCAAGAACAGTTCTATAGCATCCCACTGGAAGGTCAGATGACCTCCACATAGACAGCTAAGCTCAGGCCAAATGAAAAATGTCAGTGGCTTATAAAGACCTAAAAGGGAGACGCGAGAGCAGGGTGGTCATTTCAATTTCAGCTGCAGAATTTGCTCTTGAAAATGCTACAATAAAAAATATTAATATCATAAAAACCTAACAGCAGCCAAAGGACCACAATCATAAAGAAAAAAACATAAATCCTAAAATATATTGGCATGGAAGGCTCTCCCTCAGCTTCAAGGAAAACAAGATTTAAGCCATCAAGAACTCTCAGGAAAAGGAACTTGAATCACATGGCAAAGCAGAGAAAAAAAAATGTCAGTACCAAATATAATAACTGGAGAAGGAGATAGCTAACACGGAGAAGGTGCTGGGAATATGTGATTCGCACATTAATCTTCCGAACAACCATAAGAAAGGCTGTTCAAGCCCACATCAAAGTACAGAAAAGTACAGAAAGGTCAAGTGACTGGCCCAAGGTCACCCAATAGGCAGCCTGGCTTCCAAAGTTGTAGCCCACAACACCCAGTGGCTTCTGGAAAAGCTTTTATCCCGTCACATCCCCTCAGTTTCTCCTATCTCTAAGGAAGAGGGCTGGATTCAGAATCCCTTCCAGTTGGAAAGACACATGCAAAACCAAAATTCTAGATGCTATTCAATTTCCCCATCTAGAAATACAATTTAATGATGTACTCTTCAAATCTAAATAATAAAAAAACTAAATAATAACCAACTTACAAAGCTGCTTTAATATTAAAGTAATGTGTATAAAGGACTTAACACTTAAAGTGCCCAGCTCAGAGCAAGAGCTCAATAAACAGCAGCCATTATTACTCGTAGGATAAAACAGGAACAACCATTTAACAGTACAGCATATTTTAATTATACACCATGTGGAATAATCAAATCTCTTTCTCGTTTGAGGCCCCAGACCCATAGCATAGATCGCATTGTACAGCTGAAATTATAACAACTCAAAGCTCAGAAATTACTTGTTTCCATTAGAGATCTGACAAGTCATTTCTTCAATTGGTCACTGGTGGTTTGCAGATAACTATTAGCAGTAATGAGTATGCTAAATTAAATCCAGAGACAGCACTGCTCTGTTCTGTAAAGACAACTGGGGAGAGAGAAACGTAATTGTGGAGCGTCCTTCTCTCTGTGTCCTCCGTCTTCTCTCTGATAAATATCTCCTGTGTCTTGCATAGTATGGATTTCATTTGGTTACAAATGAAGAAGGGTCTAATTCTTCCCATGATAAATGGGAGCATGGAGCAGGTAACTTGTTAAAAAGAATTGGAATTGGGAGAATAACCTTATTTCCCTGTTCCTTGACAGCAAGCCCCCTCCACAAACAAATGCAAGATGCAATGCTGGAAGACATTAGCATGGAGGCCAAATCCATCACCAAGCGATCCATTCTCAGACAATTGCTGCACAGTGCTGTGCACAGGCTACACATTCCATTCAGCAGCAAGTCTACAAAATGTGAGGGGAAACTGACACACTAGAAAGAATAATGGCTTTGGAATCATTAAAGATGTGAATTCAAATCCTAGATCTGCCTTTCTACATTATATGGCCATAAATGAATCTCTTCCAGTGTGAGGATTCCTTATCTGTAAAATGGGGACAATACAAAACACCTCAAGGGTTGAAGCAAGCACCAACTACAGACATAAACACTGTACCTTAACTGTCTACAGGATGCTCAGCAAGTATTAGCTTGCCTGCACTGTGCAATACAGCAATGTTCTTATCTTCCAGACACCACAAACATACCAATAGCCAGCTGCAAACCGCTGAATGACACAATGTACAGGTAGCCTCTATACAGAAGGCTGACTGCATGTACATGGAATTGTCTCACAGAGGAAGCCCTGAGCCGATCATTTCCCTGGCCTCTGGCATCAGTCAGCTCAGATAGTTGTCCAAAACCACAGCTCTCTCCCAGCTCTGGCTGGACAATGACAACAAGCATGGTTTGTTAGGAAAAGCAGCTGGCATCTCTACTTACATTTTCAAAATCCTTCATGTTCCGTGCTCGGGTAGGAGAAACCTTTTCCTCTGATGCTTTTGGAAGCCCTACAAAAAGCAAAACAGACATCAGGAAAGCATCACGGCATGCAGACTAGACTGGCTGACACTGCTATTAGAGACCAGAGAGCAGAGGAGAAAAATCATGAGCAGCTTCCATGGCGTATGTGCTTTCTGCTGGCACTTTCTGCCTGTAGTGACTCACTGATTTGAGTCCAGGGAAAGCTCGAAGCTATTTTATTTCCAATACTGACAAATTACTTTAAGCAGCCCTGGTGAAACCAGAAGAGGTACCCAGATAAGACATGTGGCAAAGCACACCATCCTGAGGTGTGCCCCCTAACCTGCACACGCAGCAATCAAAACAAAGCCTGGCTAACCAATTTCGCAGCAAGGGTTGGCAACCTTTTTCCTAAGCATCAGACAATGGCTATTTTCAGCTTCCCAGGCTATGCACAAAGCCTACATCTGTCACAGATAATCGACAACTACTGCAGCACAAAACCCACCTCAGACAACTCACAAGTACAGTGGCTGTGTTCCAACAGAAGCTGATCTCCAGAGCAGGCAGTGAGCAGGAAAGGGCCGCCCCTGCTTGGAGTGACTGCAGGCACTGCTGGACCTTGATCCTGCAGAGCCTTCTTAATCCCAACATTTCTTACACACCTGTCCTGAGCACCATCCTGTGTGCTGGGGAAGTGAAGGGGAAGGAGACACTGTCCTGCGCCCACATTTCCAGGACAAGTGGAAACCAAATAAGACAGAGGAAAACAAACTGTCACCACCACTTTGTGGGTGCTGAGTAAACGTGTGGTGAGGGAATGGAGGAACCCACCATCCCAGCAAAGCTGCATGGAGAGCCTTTCTCCTGCCAGGCAGCTTTCGAGATCTGCCTCCATCAGGGAACAACAGCAGCAAACTTCCAGAGGGAAGAGACAGGCACCATAAATGAGCAATTACATGATATGATATAAGGTGGTCACAGAAAAATAAAAGAAAATATCAGAAGCGAGATGGGCTGCAGTTTTAAGTCAGGGGACTGAGGAAGGCCTCACAGAGGCCACGTGTTGGCAGACTGAAGACAAATAGCCAAGGATCTAGGGACAAACACTCTAGGTGCAGAGAACAGACTGAGTCAAGAGCATGCCCAGTAGATATGAGGAAGAGCCAAGGGGCAGTGACTGGGGGTGAGAGACTGGAGGGGGGGGAAGGAGTAGGTATCAATAAACAAAGGGGACAGAAGAGGTGTTAAGAAGTTATGGAGGACAGATCATATCTGGCACCATAGGCTCAGCTAAGGACTGAGCTGCCACTGGAAGATTTGTGAGCAGACTCCCTCTGGCTGCTTTGCTGAGAACAGACAGTAAAAGGCTCAAGAGAGAAACAAGGAGATCTAGAAGCCCAGGGTAACCCAGGCCAGAGGTCCTGGTGTCTGATGAGAATGCTATGTGCATCCATGGGTAAGAATGGATACCTGGATACTTTAAAAATTATCAGCAGGAATAAATGAAATAAAATGGACCCTAACATACAAGGTCCAATGGGGGTGACAACCACTTGGCTGAATGGGGTTCAGATGAGGGTGGGGTGGAGGGTACAGGGCCCTGTGCACCTGACGGAAGGCCACACTCCGTCACCTGTGCAGATACTTGTCCCCTCCCATTTCCCAACCAAAGTCCTACTCCTTCTGCTCTCCATACTACTTTGCTGGGGACCTCTCACCTGACTCCCTCACCCCTCCTCTGAGCACCTTACATTTCACTCCTGGCCTGATCTTATAATTTATCATAATATCTTTGGTCTGTGTTCTCAGCTAAGGTAATGATGTTCAAGGTTGAATCCAAGAGTCTGGCAGGAAGCGGATGTACCTCATCATCTGAATGAGGGTGGGCCTAACTACCTCTGCTTCCAACTGCCTGCATGCAGGAAGTGGAGAAACTAGGTTCATCACCATCAGATTTTTTTTTAAGGTAAAAAACAATCTCAAAGGAAAGCTTGAAGGTGGCCTATTGGTCACAGAATGTTTCAGAAACAAACACTTTGATACTTCGTTCTGCCTGCCCTAAAAGCTTCTTTTTGCACATATGTCATCACTTTGGGGATAGGAAAAAAAAAAACTAAATCAAAATACCTCAGATTTTAACAAGGCAAATTATCAACACTGCCCACCTAGACATCTAGTACAGGTCAACTTCTTTCAGAAAGGAAAATTATGAATAATGGTCAGCAAGACCCGGATTAAAAAGGGATCTCATAACTCCAAGACACAATAAAGTGATTATTTACTCAGCCACGTGTCTCTGGTGATCTAAGTGGCTATTTCACAAACAGGAATGCAGGCCACGGCACAGAATCCAGCAGGCCGCCAGGGAGGCCTTGGCACACTGAAGTCGGACAGCAGCGCTCCTGTGCCTCCATGTACAGGTCAAGGAGACCCACAGAACCTGGTGCTGGGTCTAGTCTGCACTTCAACGCACAGCCTCAGAAGCTGCTCAGCTCAGCAAACACTGAATCCCTACCGGCTAGGTGGCTGGATGGAAAACTCCTGAAGGACAGTGTGAAGGTCACAAAGAAGTGAAGACCAAGTGAGTACATCTGCACCTAAGAAGCTGAGCAGCAACTATTGGCCAGGCCAGGTAGGCTCTGGTCCCAGGATAATGGAAGCCCAAGCTCAAATGCTCATGGTCTGAGTTTACTCCCCCTTCTCTTACCCAAGACCTGTTGTGTACTTACCGCCATTTCCCAAGCCAGCACTGATGCTGATGCCATTCAGATTATCTGGCAGAGTGGAGACCAGGCCACTAGAAGAGAACACAGGAAAGAAATGAGGTAGTGCTTGAACAACAGATGACTGTCTGCACAGCACATGACAGTCAGCAAGCCATGGCCATAGGTTCACCTAGCTGAGCTGCCTGAGAAGAAAAAAGTATAGAACATAAAGGACTCAGGCCTTGGAGTTGAACTTACTTCCAGATCTAACACTCAGTAATTCTATGACCTTGGGCGATGTCAAGGTCATTCATTGCTTCCTTCATGCTCTGTGTGCCAGTACAAAGCTATGTTCTTTATCTGTTAGACAGGGATACCATCTACCAGTAAAGATTAAATCAGTTATTATATAGAAACACCTGCACACTAGGGCATACCTGCTGATTCTGTTCATCACCATTGGGGTCATTAACCAGCCTCCCAACCAAAAATTAAACTCCTAAGACCCAGGCACCAAGTCAGATGTTTTCAGAATGTCAAGCAAAAATGAAGAATTCACTGATTCAAGAAGCTGTACTGGCAGATTAACATAAACCAGTATATGACATTTGGTGAGGATTCAGGGAATTTGTCAGAAAACTAAACCATAACAGACATTACGCTGGGTTCTGCTCTAAGCTCTGTGTGCACCTCCAGAAGCCTTACTTCCTTCAGCTCTGAAAGGAAAAATCAGCAGCTCCTTCACAGAACTAGCAATTAAATAATATATACAAAGGGCCCAGCAAGGTACCTGGCATCCTATGAGCACACTGTAAACATGAACAAAATATCATTGTCACCTTCAAGCACAGAGTGCCTCGAAATTTATAAAATATTTACTCATCAGAGCTGCCAATTCCCCAAGGGTCTGTGATTTTTCAAAGGAAAGCTTTGCAGTACAGACCACTTCAGTGTCCCAGTCATAGTCACGTGGCAGGTACATGGAGACCTTTTATATCTAATCCTCCAAAGTCCTTCCTGGCCTCAGCCCCCAAACTAGGCATTGATGGAAGCCTAACTTCTGGGCAGTTTCTCCTCCTGCCTCCAAATCCAGATGTACTCTTCTCCTCAATTTTTCTCATCACTGAACTTTGCAGTTACAATAGACCTTCAGGATCAGAGCTGAGCGAAGAAATTAGAAATACCATAAAAATCCAACACCAAGAAAATGACTACTCAAAATATACCTAGTATAAAGATAACTGGGGGAGAAAAAAACTTAAAGAAAACATGTCCTCAATCATGAAAAGATACATAAAAAGATCTTTTTCTGGAAATAGGTGGGCTATAAATATATAACAACACAGAGGAAATGTACTAAATTCCAGAAACTATTTGCAGGGAAGACACATTTTCCATCCCCTAAATTTTCGATAACTGTCTATTTCTCCCAATTATCATCAATATAAGAACAAAGTCAAAAGAAGGCTTAGATATGATTTTATCATTATACAGAAGGGAAGACTGAGGCTAAGAAGGAGTAAGAACTTAACTTGCTCAAAATCACAAAGGAATAGCAGCAAAGTAAGGAACGAAGCCCAGACTCCCAGAGCAGGACCACCCACAGCTCCCACAGGAATACAACCCAAAGTGGAGCCACAGGCCTCCAGGCAGGCCAAATAAAGCCTAGTCATAGGAAACCTGCCTGCCAGGCCAGGCTCCAGACAGAACAGCAATCTCCCACTTAAACCTCATCACAGCCCAGCTCCATAGGTAGCATTTTTAAGTATAGCCATTTTTTTTTTTTTGGCCAGTCCTGGGGCTTGAATTCAGGGCCTGGGCTCTGTCCCTGAGCCTCTCTGTGCTCAAAGCTAGCACTCTTACCACTTGAGCCACAGCACCACTTCCAGCTTTTTCTGTTTATGTGATAGTGAGGAATCAAACCTAGGACTTCCTGCATGCTAGACAAGCATTGTACCACTAAGCCACATTTCCAGCCCCAAACTGTTGTTTTTTGGTTGGTCGTGAGGCTTGAACTCTGGGCCTGGGCGCTGTTCCTGAGCATTTCAGCTCAAGGCAAGCGCTCTACCACTTGAGCTACAGCACCACTTCCTGCTATCATTTTTTTTTAATGAGGAAAATCTAAAGCTGGAGAACCCACACTAAGCTAATTTCAAATCCCATGCTCTGGGCCCCTGCATCACCCTTCCAGTCCTCCAGGGGGCAGTGTAGTGAGGACAGAATCAACAGAACCAGAGGGCTGCTCTCAGCACATGGACACCACCAAGGCAGGTTGTCCTACTATGTGCTGTGTGCTACATCACCTCATCCTCCTGGCCTGCTCCAATGCCACCTGTTGAGCCATCCCCTCCTGTGTCTGCACTGGCTGACAACAATTGTCCTTTTGCGCTCCAAGACCCCACAGTGTTCTCAGAGCTGGCATGGAACTGAACACCACAACTGGAAAACAAGTGCACTGCTCTTTGTCTCACAGAATTCCTTTTCCATCCTGTGTTATTCCCTCTTTTCTTTTCAATACTGGGGCTTGAACTCAGGACCTAGGCATCTCAAGTGCTCTGCCACTACTCTATCCATTCTTACTTAAGAGAAAAACCACATGGAAACCAAAAACAGGCACACAAGCTCTCGTAGGTGACCTGTCACCCCCACCCCTCACCCTTCCTAAGAGGTAAGTTCCTGATGTCAGCACATTGTGTCCTTCATAATCAGAGAGACAGAGGTTTTATTTTCTGGCTTCAAAATAAAATAATTGTAATCAAAAAACACATTCTATTCTACAGCTTTTTCCCTCTACTAAATACATATCCTAGGAGTGGGGCCTTAAGTTCAAACTCCAGTACCTAAAGATGATTGGATGGCCATATAAACAGATTTGCTTCAATCTTTAACTCTTACAAAGCATCCTACAACAGGGTTTTGCACACTTTATTGACCACAACCAATAAACAAATTCCTTAGTTCTTGAGATATTTCTGTTCTCTTCTACTTTCTTTTTGTTGTTGTTGTTGTTGTTGTTATTGGTTGTAGGGCTTGAACAGCCTGGGGGCTGTCCCTCAGCGCTTCAGCTCAAGGCTAGTGCTCTACCACTTGAGCCACAACACCACTTCCGGTTTTCTGAGTGGTTTATTGGAGATAAGAGTCTCACGGATTTTTCCTGCCCAGGCTGGCTTTCAACCATGATCCCCAGATCTCAGCCTCCTGAGTAGCTAGGATTACAGGCATGAGCCACTGGCGCCCGGCTTCTACTTTCTTAAAAGCCTTCTAGCAACCTATTGAATTTATGAGATACCAGTGGGTCACCAGGGGTCTGGAAGACTCTTCTGAAAGAATGTCTATCTTCCCAAGCCCCTTCTGACAGAAATCCAGCTTGCTCAGTTCTTTTTTTACAAACTGTGTTGGGTAAGTGCCTTTATACAAGTCCCATCATGCACATGTAGGGGTCTCTAGGTCAGACAGTAAATGCAATGGCTAGATCAAGATGTAGCCACATCTTTAAAATGAGGCAAAGGTTCTGCTAAGACAGTGCACCAAGATATTCAAATGGCAAATAAACACATGAAAAAGTATTCCATGTCATTAGTCATTACAGATGTGTAAAGTAATTCCACACTGAGATAAAATGTCTCACAAAAGATAGCTAAAGTCAAACAGCCACAAGTACTGCTAAGAGGTGAAAGAAACTCGAACTTTCAACACTTCTGGTAGAAGCAAGTGACAATGCAATTTTGGAACTGAGTGGACAGTTTCTTCCAAATGTTAAAGTTACCATGTGATCCAGCAATTCTACTCCTGGGTAAAATCAAGAGAAGTGAAAAAATGATGCTCACACAAAAACTACACACAAATAAATGTTCACAGCAACACAATTCCTAACAGACAAACAATAAAAACAATCCAAATGTCCATCGATATGAATAAACAAAATATGTCACATGAGCATGATGCAATATTATTTGATCATAAAAAAGAATGACGCTGGCTTATACACACAGATGAATTTCACAAAGCAGCACACACTGTAAGACACCATTCACACGAAATGTCCAGAAGAGACAAATCTAGTATTCCAGTATTTATATAGTGCTATTGTCAACCTTTCATTCAAATAAAATGAATAAGAAACCAATATAAAGTCAGCAGGACTTCTTTCCTAGGAAGGATTGGCAAAATTGGATATTTTACATGAGGATGAATTTATAGCTATTTCATATATAGATAAGAAAACATGTTCCTTTTTAAGTTATGTAGACAAAAAGGGACAAAAAACACTACTTTCTTCATTTTTAAGCTCTCTATGTAAAGATCTAAACTCAATTCTGTGTGTGTGAGTGCTGGAACTAGGGTCTGCACTCAGGGCCTCAGGGCCTTACTTGGCGTTTTTACTCAAGGCTGGCACTCTCTCTCTTGAGCTATACCTCTACTTCAGGGTTTCTGCTGGAAAAGAGTCTCTCAGATTTGTCTACCCAGGCCAGTTTTGAATCATGACCCTCAGACCTCAGCCTCTGAGTAGCTAGGATTACACGTGTGAGTCACCAGTGGCTGGCCTAATTTCAACTCTTACTTGAAGAGAGAAGCAGTTTTTGGTATCCACTCAGCCCATCAACAGTTACACTGGGAAGTCAAGAAATTTGTCACTTTTACTTCTTGGCTTATATAAACTTTTGCCAGAAAGAATCTGACCACACCTCTGGCCTAAACAGTTGGGATTCTACATAAGCCCCCTCAAGCCTGGAGAGCTCTAAGGGTTGGTGACACCTTCACCTTTAAAAGCACGCTTCACTGAGAGCTGGCATGCTGGGCACCGGGGGTACGATCCTACGGTACTCCACACCAACTAAGATTCTGAAGTTTTCCATGCTCACATAGAAGGAAGGAGAAACACACCACCTGCTGTGAAAAGTAAAAAGTCAGAAACTACCATCACCTAAAACATGAACCCAAACCACTATGCTATGACTCTGTCTCAGACTTCACACCAAATCCACTCTCACCTGCCTTGATATAACTTGATAGAAGATTCTTACCTAACACATACATGGGGTCATAATTAATGAAGTAGAAGCCTTTGCAGTACCAACTGTGTATAACTCTCTAAACAGCACGCTGGAAATGAATGTTTCTTTATTTAATCATTCCCTCCAGTGATCTTTCCACTGATATACCTACCTACCCCTTTTTTTATTTTTGTTTAAAATGTTTCACAAATAGACTCTGGTTTGGGTTTGGGCAGTACTGGGCTTCCGGGCCCAGAACTCCACACTTGCTAGGCAAGCATACTACCATTACGTCCACCTTCATCACTATTTCTGCTCTGGTTATTTCTTGAATAGGGTCTTGCTTTTTGCCTCAACTGGCTGGACCAACATCTTCCTGTTTATATGTCTTTAGCAGCTAGGATGACAGAAGTGTGCTCATGTTTTCCCTGTTGAGATGAAGTCTTCCAAAACTTGTGTACCCAGGCTGGCCTAGAAGTGCAATCCTCCCAATCTCTGCCTCCAAAGTAGCTAGGATTGCAGCATTAACTTTGATTTAACATAAACATGTAAACGTTGAGAAGCTTCTGCTTCTCCATGAGACTCCATGAGACTCTGCCAATTAACACCAAACACCAGAAGTGGGAAACAAACCAATATGCTCCCCTCCCAGCCCCCCCAGGATGCCCCAAAGGTCACCCTTTCCTGAAAGTAGTGCCCATGAAGGCTCTCTGCCCTAGAAGTGCAAACTGTACTCACAGAAAAACTTTTCTCTCCAGTCTGCTCCTAACCAAGCAGCAAGCCATCAAATGGCAATGTGCTGAAGGGACCCATGGATGACAATGCCTAGTTTCAGGCTTAGAAGGTTCATGGTTGGGAAAGGCAGGCTCTTGGGCATACAAATGAAGAGCAGGACCCGGAGCTGCAGCGCATAGGGTCCTGTCTGCGAAATAGTGTGCCATGGGACAAATCTGACAACAAGAGCTAACATTCCACTCTCCCCCATTGGTACCAGGCACTTATTGTATAAGCTCTCACATCATCCAGGTGGCCATCAATGAAACACGCATTATCTTCAAAGAGACCATAGGTCCCAAGGGTCGAGGACTAACTCCAGCCACACACCTGGCTGAACTAGAATGTAGACCCCTCTCACACAACCCCCAAAGCCAGCCTCTTACCACTCTACCCAGCAAGATTTAAAGATCTGGGCTTGAGTGGGGTCTCTGGGTCCAAAGTCTAGGCCGTAATAACATGGAGCCAGAGCAGTCAAGGACACCAGCAGGGATAAGGATCAAAGGCAACAGCACACATTACCCTAATCCAAGTGAGTCTAAGGGAGAAAACTGGACTCCAGTTCAATCTTTCAAAGTGGGATGTGGAAGCCACAGGCAGAAGGTCTCAGACAGTACCATATTAGAATAAAACAGGTGACTTTCCTTCTAGGGGTGGCCTTCTCTGTCATCATCTGCTTGAAAAGGCAAGGGGAGGTGGCAAAGAAGCTGAATGAGACAGCAGTGAGGCCTTTTTAGAGTCATTTTATTTCTTATGCCAGCCCTGGGCTGTACATCAACCTACATTACAGGTGACAAAAAAAACTGAAGTTCCAAAGGAGGATACTCTTAGGGGAAGAACACAAAGACACAATGCATATAAAATAATATTTATCAAAATGAACCCAGGAAATGGAAACAAGTTTTTTGTTGTTGTTGCTTTTGTTTTTCTTTTTGTCATTCATTCACATATCTGTCTTTGGGAGGGTAAGAGGGGCACAGAAATGGAGGGAAAAGGGTGAAAAAATGCAACAGTAGTAATCATTAGACACTATATGGACAATTGATGGTGGGGACAGGAGAGAAAAACTGGGAGAGAGCAAGGAAAGGGGTGACATTATCCAAAAAGAAATATACTCATTACCTGACTTATGTACCTGCAAACCCCTCTGTACATCACCTTTATAATAACATTTTTTTTTAATTTTTAAACTCAGGCTCCCAAGATGAGTGACTTGTCTAAGGTCACAAGGTTGTAAAATGGCAGAACTGAGACTTGAACTCCAGCTGGGTCTAGGTCTGAAAGCTGATGTGGGACCAGTAAACACGGAAGTGAAAAGACCAGATCTCAGAGTAGCGGTGAACTTTACTGAACGGCAATAGGAAACATGAAAAACAGGGTGCTGGTAGCTCACTCGTATAATCCTAGCAACTCAGGAGGCTGAGATCTGAGGATTGTGATTCAAAGCCAATCAGGTCAGGAAAGTCTGTGTGACTCTTAACTCTAACTACCAAAAAGCCAGAAGTGGTGCTGTGGCTCAAGTGGTAGAGCGCTTGCCTTGAGCTGAAGAGCTGAGGGACAGCACCCAGGCCCAGAGTTCAAGCCCCATAACTAACCAAAAAAAAAAAAAAAAAAGTATCAGCAAACTGGGATGAGAGATTTCATATTGGCTTAGACAGGAGCTTGAAAGGGCCTATCTCTGTGCCTGATACCTAGAAGCTATGAATGAACACAGTAACCATTTACCAGGTCTGCCAAAGATAAGACCTCTATTCCTAGCTTATCATCAAGGCATAAAAGCAAGTCAAGCAGAGCAAGAGACTCTGAGTTCAAGTCCAAGAACTAGCAAAAAAAAAAGCATCCTAGTTTGCACAGTGAACAACATTTAGGCTCTACAGGCTAAACACAGCAGCCTGTCCTACAGAACTAAATAAACACTGCAGGTTCTAAGTCCAGTTCTCTTCCTCTTCTTTCTGCAATCCCTCCTACCAGAAGCCCAGGACAATCAGAGGACCCAGCCTGGAGCAGTCCAGGGCCTACCAGAAGAAAAGATCTGGGCCCTACCAGAGAAGACCCCATGGCCACTTGGAGCAGCTCCCCTGGAAGGCCCCCTTCAGATCATTCCCTGATTCCTACCACTATTGACAACACAGGTTGAATATCCCTAATTGGAAAACCCCAAACCCAAAATGCTCCAATATCAAAACTTTTTGAATTGGATCATGTTGGCTACAAGTGGAAAATTCCACACCTCCTGACTGCACATGATGGGTGTCACAGTCAAAATTAAGGCCTACTGCTTGGTATACTGGGTGTATATGAAACATAAATCAATTCCAAGTTCAGACTTGGGTCCTATTTTCAAGACATCTCAAATGTAGGTGTGTGTGAGACACACACACACACACACACACACACATACACACATGCAAAAATATTCTAAAACTTCAAAATAATCCAAAATCTGAAACATTTCTAGTCCAAAGCATTTTGGATCAGGGATACCCAACCTGTAATAATAACAGCAATACGGTGTCATTCTTTCAACCCTGATGGTATGCCAGGCACTTGGTTAAGTACCAAAGGAACTGCAGGGCAGTTATTGCTTCTTTTGATCTTCACCCCAAGTCTGTTGGGTGGATAGTCTTGGCCCGTGTTACAGATAGGAAAGTGAGTCAAGTCACTTTGCCCAGGTCACCCAGGGAGTCACCTTACAGAGGCCGGGTTTGAATCCAGTGCTAACCATCTCCAGCCAAGGCAATAACAACCGCACTCGGCCGGCCCTATACGGTGGGTCACCATGGGACACCCCCCACACACACACCCCATAAGCTAAGCAAAGCCTATACTTCACAACTACAGTCCCATAATGAACGCAAAACTCCCAAAGGCGGAATGAATCCTCAGGTGTCCTCTAAGTCCCCGCCCCACCCAAAGCCCCCACGAAGGGCACACCCTCCAAGCGGTCCCCTCCTCCCAGTCTATCTGCCTGTCCTCCAAGCCCCTTTCACGGGAAAGGCCCCGAGCCGAGTCTAGCACGGTGCCCGTCAGGCCCCAGACCCCCAATCAGCGTCATCGGGCGCCCCCCCAAAAGAGAGGCCGTCCCCCGCCCCGCCCCCGGCCGAACACCTGAAGCAAACCCCCAGGCCGCGCGCCTCAGAGACGCTTCCCCCCGCACCCCGCGGGTGGGCACCCCGGCCCGGTCAGCCCGAGCGCCCCGGCCCGGGCCGCACCTGCAGCCGCTGAGCGTCCCGGGGAGGGTGACGTCCTCTTCCAAAACCGAGTCCATCGCGGACGCAAAGGCGACGTAGGCATCCACGACTGCGGCGCTGGCGCCGCCGGCTCCTCGGCTGCAGCGACCCGCCCGGACTCTCAGGTCCCGCCCCCTCCGACCCAGCTCTTGTTCCGAGTCAGGAGGCGCCGCTGGAATTCAAACCACAGCGGCCGCCATGTTTGCCAGGGCTTCTTCCTACGGAAACGGGGCGGGGTCAGCAGGGCGCGCGCGCGCGCGCGGTGAAGCCGCGCTGCCGAAGCCAGGCAGGGAAGAGTGAGCGGCCGCCATCTTAACTAAGGTCAATGCCTTGGTGCTTGGGCCGGTTAGACTACAGAATGACAGGCTCGCGGCCATCTTTTGCGAGGGCACGGCGGCCGAGGCCAGGAGGGACGCCATCTTTGTTAAGGGTGAAAGCCCAACAAGGTATGTTCTTTTAAGCGGGAAAAGGAAGCACAGCTTCCCTTACTGTGGCGTCCCAATTCGGAGTTTTGTTTTCCTTGGAACAGTGACCACACACACACACACACACACACACACACAAAATTTGGCATCCAAAAGGCTTCTGCCTGGAGGCTCAGATAATGGCATGTTGCCTCCCTTTTTGAAAAATCCTGCCCGCAGAGCACTAAGGCAAGCCGTAATTCTCACTCTGTTGGAAGTAATCCCAGAGCCAAAAGGTGAGCCGCACTCCCACTCCGAGCCTCCACGATGCTTCGTGGCTGTGAGGACTCGACTACAACTGCAATGAGTAAACTGAGGCCTAGAGAGACGGAAACGACTTGGCCCAAAGTAATGCAAAGGAAGTTCACTGTCGACGCAAACCCTAGCTGGGGTTTGCTGCCAACTAGATCTAGACTCCCTTCTTTCTCCCTCTCAAATGACACAGCAATTACCAAACACCTAGGTACTTTTGGCAGCTATAGCCTCTTTTTTTTTCTTAATTTTTTATTATCTTTTCGTTGTACGAAGAGCTATCATTTAACAAAGCAGTGTATAAATGCAATGCATCTGGATCAGTGTCACACTCCTTCAACATTGTTATCCTCACCCCTTTTAATTAACTCTTTCCCTTACTTTTCTTAATTTTGTGGTATGGACAGTGAATTCTTCCCATTTTTTTTGTCGGTAGTAGGGCTTGAACTCTGAGTCTGGGCACTGGCCCTGAGTTCTTCAGCTCTAGGTAAGCACTCTACCACTTGAGTCACTCCACCACTTCCGGTTTTCTGGTGATTAATTGGAGATCAGAGTCTGCCCAGGCTGCCTTTGAAATGGGATCCTCAGGTCTCAACCTCCTGAGTAACTAGAATTATGGGTAGGAGCCACCAATGCCCAGTATGACAGTGAATTCTTGAATCAACATTTCTCCAGTGTTGCTTCTTGTTCTTCATTGGGAGTCCTGGATGAAAGTAATTTTCAAAAATGAGTAGACAAGAGAATGGTGGTGACTGCCCTGTAATCACCAACAAGTCACCAATCTCTGTTTCCTCATTCTTTAACTAATTGCTCAATTACTCCCCAAAGGAGGTCTTTCCTACTGCTCTAAGCTAAATCCATCCCTTTCTTATAATCTGAGAAATCCATACTTTTCCTTTGTAGCACTTAACCACCCTTGCAAATATATATTTCTGTTTTTCCAATATCTTCTTTTTGCGGCTATGGAGGGCATAGGGCAGGAATTGTGTTCACTGCTAGGTCCTCTATGACAACATTGTGCCTACAAATCAACAGATGTTTAAAAATATGTGTTAGATGAATGAATGGCTTGATCAAATCAGTCTGGAAAATAGGCTAGTAGCTATCCTGCAACGATTTTGTGAGGCTGACCTGAGATATCTTTAGGAATGCCACAGTTCAGTTCTCTCTGATTTTCAATGCACTTAACGATTTTACACAGCCTGTGTGTCCCCATTTTTTGGGGGGGTCCAGTCGTGGGGCCTGAACTCTGGCCTGGGCGCTGTCCCTCAGCTCTTCAGCTCAAGGCTAGCGCTCTACCACTTGAGCCACAGCGCCACCTCCGGCTTTTTTTTCTTTTTGCTTATGTGGTGATGAGGAATCGAACCCAGGACCTCAGGCATGCAAGGCAAGCACTCTACCACTGAGCCATCTTCCCAGCCACCCCCCATTTTTTTTTCTACTTTAGAATATAAAAGTAACATATAAATTCACATCTAGACAACACAGTATTTAAGTGACATACTCACCAGTTTCTACTCCTTGGGCAACTCCTTCAAGGAAGCTAAATAATGACCCTAGTGTGGACAGCACAGTTTATCCCTTGCTATATCTTAATTTTTCCATGTATAATTGAGCTGAAAATGTCAGTCTTACATGCTGGCATTCTCTAATTAGACACTTTGGAAACTATAAGGAAGAATCCGTAAGAAGCTCTCATTCAGATTAATTCATTGCCCTATTCAGACCATGTTCCTGAGTTATGTACTGAACTCTTAGTAAATCAAGAAACTGAAAATTGAATCAATTGCACAAAGGACAGGCTATATAGGAACTTGTTGTTCCCACTACAGTAGTGGTCTCATAGTCAGGAACAGAGGCCTTTGCCCTGTCTGTCTCTGGTTTTAATTCCTGCCAAGCCTGGAGGTGATGTCACTCCCATCAGTTGTTTGGGCAATCCAAAGCTATCTCCTTGACAACAGCCAACCAGACACAAAGCTGGTATTATTTCTTTGGACAAGGTCAAACTGAATGGCTGGAAGTTGCTTGGACCCAGATGTATTTTTTCATTTGCATGGAACTCTTCTGAAGATTTTAGCAGCTCAAGATAGTTGAATACCATTGCTAACAATAAAAATAATTTTATAGATAATACATTCATGATTCATTTTGAAATATTCCATTTTCTCTTCATGACACTATGAAGTAGGTTGAGATGATTCCCCTGTTGTACAAATGAAGAATTCTATAGTTTGGATCTTAACTGGCCTGAGAACACCATAGATCAAAGGTTTGGCCCCCAGCCTGTGGCACTGTTGGGAAAGGGCCTACTTAAAGAAAGTTGGGCCATTAAAATCATGACCTTGAATGGAATGTTAAGATGTTAGGAGCCCTTCTCATTCTCATTCTTTCTCCCCTCACTTCCTTCTTGTCTGCCATGAGGTCAGCAGCTTCCCCATCACTTCCTCCAACATCACTTGGTCCAATCATGATGTTCTAAACCACATAGACCTAAGGGCAATGGAGCCAAGTGATCATGGTCTGAAAATGAGGCAAATGTTTCCTCTTATGTCAGTTATTTTGGCACAGTGCCAGGAAGATAACACAGGAAAAGTAGGATTCAGAGGATTTTCCAATGGCTACTTTTTTCTTTTCTTCTTTCTTTCTCCCTTCTTTGTCTTTGTTTCTACTTTCTTTCTTTCTTCCTTTTTCTTCCTTTCAGAAACAATTTGAGACCAGGAAAACAGTTGCAAAAATAGTACAAAAAGACTGAGTGTGAGGCTCATGCCTGTAATCTTAGCACAAAGAAAACCCATGCAGGAAGATCATGAGTTTGAGGCCAGCCTGGACTACATACGGAGTTCAAGGCCAGCCTGGGTTGTATAGTAAATACCTTGTGACTTCAAACAAGCAAACAAACCAAAAAGTACAAATAATTCCTTATGAAATCTTCATGTAGCTTCCTAATTTTTTGTGGTTGTTATTGGCAGTATTGGGGTTTGAACGCAGGGCCTTGGATTTAGTAAGTAAGTACTCTACCACTTGAGACACACCACCAATCTTTTTTGCCTTAGGTTGTTTTTCAGATAAGATCTCACTTTTGCCTACTCACTCCTACAGCTTATTTTGTTGATGGGGAGTCGCACTCATTTTCTGCCCAGACTGGCTGTGTATCACAATCCCCCTGATTTCTGTCTCACAAGTATTTAGGATTTGCTTCCTAATATATTAGCATCTTCTAGAACCATAGCATTGATACAATACCATGTCTTTGTCTTTCATGACACTGGCACTTTGTAAAGTTCATGCTAAGTGTTGATAGAATGTCTTCAGTTTATGTTCACATGGCATTTTTTCATGATTCAATTCAGCTTATAGAGTTTGGGCAAGAAATTACAAAAGTGATGCTATGCCCTTCTCAGGGTGCAATTGGAGATCAAAGGATATTGGTATGGCTCCCTGATTGATGGTATTAACTCTTATCTCCCAGCTATGGTGTTTTATACCAACTTTCTGTAAGGAAAATTACTATTTTTCCTTTTGTAGTTATTGAGAATCTTTAAGGGCGATATTTGAGATGATGTATTTTGGTTTTCATACTTTTGCCCACTAATTTTAGCATGCATGAATAAATTCTTACTCAAAACAATCATTATAATTTCCCTGTAAATGATTTTTCTGTTTTCATCATTCACTATATTTTTAAACCAAAATTCAACCATAAGGAAGAGCTGTCTGTTCTTTTCTATGTAATCATTTAGTCAATTATCCATTGGTTGTAATACTGGGGTTTGAAGTCAAGGCATTGTGCCTGCTAGGCAAGGCCTACTTATTTGATTCTTTATTTAGAGTAAGATGGACTCATGGGAATTTATTTTTATGTGTTGTAATCCATTCTTTGTTAAATCATCATTGTTTGCTTTATTGCACAAATTGTCATAGATTTTAGCCTTCTAATACATTGCTGTGCCAAGATTCAAATGCAGATCTATCTGGTCCCAAGTTCAATAATACTTTCCCTTCCTCAAGAAGTCTTCCAAAATAACCCTCAACATTAGCAGTCCTAAGGAGCCAAGTCCCAGTGAGGACCCACAGTCTTCTCCACAGTGTGCTGGGATATCAAGCCAATAACCTAACATCTAGTCCATGATCACAGTAGAAAGTTGATGCCATCTGTCACATTAACTCCAAGTATTATTTTTTTCTTAGGAAGGGAAAAGAAGGGTGACTATAGTTCATATGTGACCTGTCACATATCTTTAAAAAAAACTTAAAAAGAAGAGCTCCAAGCATAAAGAAACAAGGAGCTAAAAACATTAATGAAGCTGGTTGCTGGTGGCTCACGCTAATCCTAGCTACTCAGGAGGCTGAGATCTGAGGATCAGGTTCAAAACCAGCCCAGGCAGGAAAATCTGTGAGACTCTTATCTCCAATAAACCACCAGAAAGCCGGAGTGGCACTGTGGCTCAATCAGT